ATTAATTATAATGTAGTTAAATTTCGTGTAATTTAGAAAAGAACCAATAATTTCATAGTAATAGTGAAGATCTACTGCGTCACACTGCGACATACTGTGTATTACTGTGCCATTGTAACATGAAAACATGTATAAATACAAGTGCTAATAATTAATAAAAATCAAGTTCTCTTAGTTTGATAAAAGTTCTCCAGTTCATATTTTTAGTTCTTAAGTTTTGGTTTTGAGTTTCTTTTGGTTAAATGTCAAGTTTGACATATTAGATTGATTTTATTTTGAAATTTAAATTAGTTTTTGATTAAGTTTATCTTTCAGTTTAGTTTTGTTATTAATTTATTCTCATCTTTGTCATTTTTATCTTGTTAAGAAACATCATTTATTGTCATAAACACCATTTAGTTATAATATTCAAAGTAAACTGCTGTGAACACAGTCACTATTGCCATTTTGAAATACTTTCATACGCAAAAGCTCAAAATGGTAACAATACATGTTGCTTTTATACAAATCCAAGATATAATTTCTAGGCTATACAAATTCATGTTCACTATATCACTTAAATTCTATTTGTTTGCTCATTCGCTTAATTATTCGTTCATTCGCTTGTTCACTTGTTCGCTCGCTTGTTCGCTCACTTCACGTGATTTGATCTTTATCCAATAAGCTATGAGATATGTATAATCCAATAACATGTAATATTATGACGAAAGATCATTATACAACAATAATTTTTTGCCAAATTTGAAAAGATAATTTGTTCACATGTGTTATTATTATATGATGTTGGGAAATTAATTACTAAATTCTTGGACATAACCTCTTGTCAAATTCAAAAAGATAATTTGTTCACATATTAACACTATATCCAAATGATAACAGTATTCTTAGTTTGATCTTGGCATCTGTATATAGTTATGACAAAATATTATCGGACCAATCATTATATTAATTCCAGTAAATAAATAGCAAATAAATAAAATAAATATGCTCATATTCTACAAATTTTCCGTTGAAAATAATCTAAAACTATAAATCTTTTCCTTCATTTTTGAATTTATTTAATTTATAATTCTCGGGATATTCTTCAATTAATCGTTTTAATTCTTGTTTCTGCGCAATTAGATTTGGCGTCGGTCGATCATAGACATCATTAAATAGTTCAGTAAGTGACGGTTTCTGAAGTTTCTCTGCACGAGAAAAAGATTTTAGAATTTCTTTACGGATTTCAGTTCGAAACTTATTTTCTTCTTCTTCGTTCCACCAATTCTGTAAAAGTGAATATTTATAATATATTAAAGTAATGTTAAATTTAAAATTTAAAATAAAGAATACCTTATTTTCCAGCCACTTTCGAAATCGAATTATCGGGTTATCAAGACGTTTCCAATACTCAACCTCAGTTTTAGATCGATATGCCAAAGAATTGTCCGAGGTACTATGATGCCCAATTCGATAGGTCATCGCTTCAATTAAGACTGGACGATTTTCGTCAGCTGCTAATTGTCGTGCTGTTCGTGTTGCATTGAACACGGCCCAAACGTCATTTCCATCAACACGAATTGTATCTATTCCATAACCAATACCACGACTTGCAATGCCATCACCTTTGTATTGTTCTAATGCAGGTGTGGATATCGCGAAACCATTATTACGACTTTATGAGTAATCAAAACGTTCAAGTAAATATAAATCAATGGATTAAATTAAAATACGCATCAAGCATATAATATATAAAAAACATGGAATAAAATAAAAAAATAATAGAAATTATAAAATACCAAAAAAATATAACAGGACACGTCATCGTAGCCGCAATATTCAATGCCGCATGAAAATCTCCTTCACTCGCTGCCCCCTCACCAAAGTAACACATTACACAATTTTTCTGACTGCTCCTTTTCAACGCGTACGCCGCGCCGGCAGCCTGTGGTATCTGAGTGGCCAATGGCGAGGAGATAGTCTGAAAATTTAATTCTTTTGAGCCATAATGAACGGGCATTTGTCGTCCTTTACCATTATCCTGCTCGTTACTGTAACATTGATTCATAAATTCATCAAGTCCAAATCCACGATATAAAAGAACACCAGCTTCACGATATTGACCAAATATTACATCATTGTTGTCGAGAGCGGCAGCACTCCCTATGCAAGCCTCTTCGCCGTAGTTAGTCATGTAGAAGCTAATACGACCTTGACGCTGTGCTTCATATAGAATTAGATCCATAATGTTTAATGTAAGCATGTTTTGATATATTTTAAGAGAAAATTCTTCAGAAACCTTTAATATAATCAAAAATAAAATAAGAGTTACAATGGCAATTAATATAATAATTGCTATCGATAAAAATAAAATAAAATACTTGAGGCTCTTGAGAAGGGTCCAGAATCTTTCCTTCTCTATCCATTACTCGATAAGTTGGAATCGGATCAATACTCTGAATAAACTGCATTTTATTTGTAAAGTAACTAAGGGTGGCACCAGGAAAAGGAACTTTCTCGCCTTTAGCATCATCTTTTGAGGAGCTTTGAAAAACTTGTGAAGTCACACTTAGCAACTTGGAATAACGTAAAAGAGTGAGGTAAGACGCTTGGTCTTTGCTGTGATTAAGACCAAAAGAAACTCACTCTCTTAGTCCATTGGAAGCTGTTAGTTGTTCGAAATCCAACGAAAACTGCTCTTGCCAACATTTTGATGATTTTCATGAATGACTTCTACAAATAGCAAGTTAGATATTTAAAAGATTTGCCTTTAGTTACACGATATCGCGTGCCACATGTTGATTAATAAATATTATTTATCTGGACAAAAACCGTTCCCCTAATTTTTTCAGTTTTCCGCGACTACAACACCTTCACTCTTTCATCCCTCATAGTGTCCATGGAGCGACTACAGGATCCCGTAACAGAATGGGACGTCAATAAGGTGCACACTTGGCTCTCTCAAATTGGGTATCCGACCTACGAACTACAACTAAAAGGTTAGAGTTTTTCGACATATAGCCATATCGAAAATCAAATTGATCTTTTTTGTGCCTTATGAAAACATAGAACACGGCATCACCGGCGAAATTTTAGTTCACATGGATCATGAAGCTCTTAAAGATATCGGGATTCGTTCGGTCGGCCAAAGAGTGTCAATATTAAAAGCCATTTATAATCTCAAACTTCAACATAACGTACCAGTTGAATTGCTCGATTATGTCCCGCCTTGTAAGCATAATTCTTTACTCTTTTATCGAGAAATATTTATAATATTTGCAAAACTTTATTAATTATTTTGGTTGGACACGTCTTTTATTAATAGCCGCGGAATTTGAAAATGTATTTATCAATAATAATGCTCAACGGTATTGTTGGAATTCCTCAAAGTGAAAATTTCTACTGAATTATTTTTTTGATCGTTTATTTTTTTGATAGGAAATGAGTATGGTTAATGGGATGCCGGACATTCGAAAATTCGAAAATGCATTGCAAGAAAGGGGTATGCGAACTTAATAATATTTTTGAATCATAATTTTTCATGAATTTTTTAAAAAAAATAACTATCAAAAAAAATAGATGGGTTGATAGCTCAACTGTCAAGAGAAATAACACGACTTTCAAATGACTTATCAAAATTACGAGAGGAATTACAACCAGTTTTCAAATTTGTAGCAAAAGAAAACAAGGTTTTTGCTGCGTCATTTTTCTCTTGATGATTAATTTAATTTTCTAATTCTAATTAGAGTGATAATTGATCAATTTAATTAGCCATTACCTGAGCCAGACTGGCAAAATCCTGTCAAAGGAAAATATAATTCAAACTCTTCCAAAAATCTGTCTGTACAAGTACCAGGTACAAATTATTCAATAAGGTCTTCTTCATTTCAAAATGAAGGACTAAGTGCGCCACCTTCGCCACGATCTCCGCGAGAAGGAGGAAGTCGTGCTCGTCAGCATAATGGCAGTAGCAATAATAATAGCAATAACAATAGTAACAATAATAATAGTAATAATATTAATAGTAGTAGTGTTAGTATTAATAGTAACAATAGTAATAGTGGTAGTAATAATAACAATAATAATAACAATAGCAATAATAACAATAACAATAACAATAATAACAACAGCATCAGCAGCGGCAACATTAATAATAATGATGAATATTTAACAGATGTGAGAAATTTTTTTATTTTTATTGTTAATTTAATTATATAGCTAACAAAATTATTTTTTATAGTCTAAATATAGCACAACAAATACGCTAGTACCGCAAGTTACCATTAATGATCATTCGGGGGAATTTAAATTCATGCAAAATCAAAATACTGGAAGAGAAGCGGAAACTTTCAAAGCTTTCCGTGTATCAGTAGAGGATCCTTGCTATAAAGTATTGCCAGCAGCATTGAAAAAATATAAAATTACAGACGATTGGCGTCAATATGCATTGTTTATATGTTACGGCAAGGAAGGTACGAATATTATAATATGCTTTTTGATATGCTTCTCATCTTTAGTAATTCATATTTTTTTTCTTCGTTATTATTGATAGAGAAATGCTTAAGTTACGAGGAAAAACCATTATTATTATTTCAAAAATTAAAGGAACAAAATCTCAATCCAGTTTTTATGCTGAAAAATATAAAGGAAATTAAATCTCCTTTTGCAACCGCTAAAGAGATTATAAATTCACTTAAAGCAAGTAAAGCAAAACGAAGGACAACACTTCTTAATAAGGAATTGCCACCTGCACCTCACGAAGGAAACGGAGAAGCTGGCTCTTCACCCTCATATAATCCATCAAATTTCGATGGATTTATCGAAGATGATCAATCAGAAGTGACACTGGTAGAAGGAAATGGAACAGCCGTGGCTATTTATCCATATAATCCAGAGCTGGAGGATGAACTTAAGATTCTTGTTGGCGATGTTTTTAATATAAAGAGTAAATCGGGTGGGTGGTGTTTTGTAGAGAAAGAGGGTCGAGAAGGATGGGTTCCACAAAATTGTTTATTAGAGACAACGGTGAACGGTGGTGATATGATGGATAGTGATAGTCCGCTGGTGGGGAGAGGTATTGCATTGGTTGATTACCATAGTAGAGGTGGTGATGAACTTACTATGAAAAAGGATGATCATCTTCGAATTTACAAAATGGATAATTATTGGTTATATTGTGAGATTAATGGAGTTCGTGGATGGGCACCAAGTTGGTATGTGCGAATAGATAAACCAGTGGCTGATGACGTAGAAAGTGAGGTAACGTATATGTTTCGTATATTTGTAATTATATTAATTTTGTATTATATTCGGATCTGAAATATAATTTTTATTCCTAAACTAAATTAAAGGTTGATCCTACAAGGTAGATTGAAATTATTATATTGTTAAATTAAAATTATATTTATAATACTGAACCCTATCTTATCGTTAATCAAAGTCCGCGGCGACAAAATCATAATACTTCCAATAATGATAGTAACGGCAATACCAATAATATTAATGGACAACAACAATCAAGAGCTGTACATTCACCTACAAGAATTAATCATAATGATAGTTCATTTTCTAGTCCATATGAAGGATTTTTGATTTAAAATTCAAAAATTATTTTATTATTATATTCAAAAGATCAATTTAACCTATACCTATTCTTCTCATGATTTGACCTTTTTTATTTAATATATTTATTTTTTGATTAGGGCTGAAATATAAACATTATAAATTTATCTATTTATTTATTTACCCATCTAGAACAAAATTTCCTGTGGTATCGTTTCCTTTTTTCTGATACATTTTTATTTATAATTTCCAGAATTCTAATTTATTAATTTTTATTGTTTTATTATTAACGGATCAAGTTTACATGAGTGGATTTGCGTATTTTTAGGATTTTTTGGTTATGTACATAAAGTTCCATGTTATTTGATTTTTTATTGCTTGGATTGATTGTCGCTTTTGTATCATACACCTATATATCGATAAGTTATAAATAAATTTTTGTCGATTGATATATATTCTTTAGTATCCTGATTATCAGCATCTCGTGTCGGTCTGACTGAAAATACTCTGAGTTTCGCACAGCTTCGATTTAGTTTCGCGTACTTTATACGTATAGTATTTATTGTGACTTAAAACGAAATCAAGAGATGCGTTAAACCGTTGTGAACACGTGATACGTGTTTATCACAGTTAAGGGTTGATTTTACCGTTAGGGTTAGAGTGTATGTAAAATTGTCTCCCGACGTTTTTAATTAGTGCTCAAAGATAGATTAAAGCATACATTTACGTTCGTGCTTCGGATTTGTTTTTCATTCTGTCGATGATGTGTATATATGCATCAGTAGAAATGTCCTTGTTCCAAATCATTGTCCAAAATAGTTCAACTATATAGAATATTCTGTTGAATTCATTGCTTAACGCATACACGCACGCTTGCATAAGTAATAATATATTGTGATACGTAGTAGTTCTATATAAAGTTTCTTTTCCCAGTCCAACAATTTTTTTGGATTGATAAATTTACGCAAATAAAATTCTATATTACTAAAGAATTTTCAACAAGTAAAGAATATCAATTTAATGGACGACGACGAATGGTTATCAAATTCGGAATTTGCAGCGGACGTTAATCCATCTTTATCAAATTCGATGGATTTATCGAAGATGATGATACTGGTAGAAGGAAATGGAACAGCCTTGGCTATTTATCCATATAACCCAGAGCTGGAGGATGAACTTAAGGTTCTTATTGAGGATGTTTTTAATATAAAAAGTAAATCGGGTGGTGTTTTGTAGAGAAAGAGGGTCGAGAAGGTAGGTTCCATAAAATTATTTATTCGAGACGGTGTGATAGTCCGCTGGTGGGCAGAGATTGCATTGATTTGTTATCATTAGTAGAGGTGGTGATGAACTTACTATCTTCAAATTTATATTATGAGAGATTAATGGAGTTCGTGGATGGGCACCAAGTTGGTATGTGCGAATAGATAAACCAGAAATCTTGTCGATCATAGACCAGCAGCCAATAATAAGAATGCGCAACTTTTGATCAGTATCCGACACAAGAAAAGGAAAAATACAAGAAATGCCTAAATCTAGCTTGGAGTACCAATTAAAAACGTCGGGGAGGCAATTTTATATAACCTGTATCTCAACCTTCTAATGTTAATTAATACTACAGTAGAATTTTCCGAGATCAACAAAACCTTGCTTAGAGGATTTACTTAAATGTGCGGGGAATACAAGCTTCCCGAATAGGAAAGATGTGGCTAGTAACGCTAATTTATCGCTTGGATTAGGGTTAGGGTTAGAGCTGGAGGACAAGATTATACGTAAAACTGTCTTCCTGATATCTTTTATTAGTGCTTCAGATCAAATTTCAACACCTGTTTTTCATATTTTTCACATTTTCATTTCTTGCATCGGATTTGTTTTGTCGGGTTGATCAAAAATTTGCTCATTCTTATTGGTTTATGCCATCCGACAGAGGCATTACTAGCCACAAATTTTCTTATTTGGGAAATTTGATTTGTCTATCCCCGCACACATTTAAGTATACGCTTTAAAGCTGACTAGGATGCGCAGGCGCAGAGTCGACTCGCTGAGTCAGCCGACCTGACTTTTTTCGATGCGGCGCGTTAATCTTTCTAAATTTGGTATATAATATACATGTATATATATAATACGTACGTGTTTTATGTAATACTGTGATTGACGTAAGCACATAAATAAATTCTAAATAAGGAAATTCACATGACTATAGACTCAGCCGGCCGGTATTTTGTTGCCGGCTTGAAACACTGCTAAACCAGTGACTGATGACGTAGAAAGAGAGGTAACGTATATTTGTAATTATATTAATTTTGTATTATCGTTATACTCGGATCTGAAATATTTTTATTCCTAAACTAAATTAAAGGTTGATCCTACAAGGTAGATTGAAATCATTATATTGTTAAATCAAAATTATCATTCAATCAAAGTCTGCGGCGACAAAATCGTAATACTTCCAATAATGATAGTAACGGACATAACAATAATATTAATGGACAACAACAACCAAGAACAGGACAGACTCAACTTGAAGATAATAAAACAATTTTTTGTTTATTCTGTTAATTACAGAGACTCTCCCTAAGTGCACCCCCCTCGGGACCATATGAAAAAAAAGACAAAATGTGTGCATTTAGGGAGGGTGTGCATTTATGAACAATAAATAATTAGAAAAAAAAGATCATCCCTCAAATCAATTTGTTATTAGTCAAAAAACAACTTTGAATTTTTTGAGATTATACTTTCATCCACAAAAGACCAATTTAACCTATACTTATTCTTTCTTATGTGGTATACATTTTAACGGATCGAGTGGTTTTAGGATATTTTTTACCATGTTGTTTGGTAAATCGACAGATCTACTATAACAGACAAAATTTATGTTACTTATAGCTGGTTCTGAAAAATAGTCTGTTATAGACCAAATCTGTTATATCGATCATCTGTTGACTGTGTATAAATAAATTTTGTCGATCGATATATTTTTAGTATCCCGATTATCAGCATCTCAATTTTAGTTTTTATATATAGTATTTATTGATCAACTAGATCATATTTAGAAGCATTGTCTTCTTGTTAGAACAATGTGATATACACCATCTTAGCATTTTCTCCAAAGTCGAGACAATCAGTATGGTGGATCACGTGCGATTTATTGCCTTTTCCTTGCTAACACGTGAGTCGAAGGTAGGTGGATAGGATGATTTCACTTATTAGTTACTTTTGCTTCTTATATGATATGTTTTTGACATTTATTTTTGCAATAGGGGAATAATAGGGAGTTGTATTTTGTAATGATATCATTATGCGTATGTTTGATCGAACCCTTAGGCAAAGAATAACGATTCAACCAAATAATGCATATTCTATACAGCTAAACTATTTTGGACAATGATTTGTTATTCTTGATTTGGCACAAGGACATTTTACTGATGCATATATACACATAATCGACATACACACATAATCGACATACATGCATGCTTGCATAAGTAATAAGATATATTGCAGGGGCGTCGTGATACGTAGTAGCTCTATTGGCAAATCATTGTCGATATATAAAAGTTTCTTTTCCCAGTCCAACAATTTTTTAGACTTGTGTGAATTGATAAATTTACGCAAATAAAATATTACTAAAGAATTTTCAACAAACAAAAAATACTAATTTAATGGACGACGACGAATTATTATCAAATTCGATTTTTGGCACAGCGACACCAAACTCTGTTTCGGAATTTGCAGCGGACGTTAATCCATCTTTATCTAGTTCTTTCCTAGCTGATAATTTCACCATTGGAAATCCTTGGGATCCACCAACTGTTCTTAATGTGAATGACACTTCAAATATTTTGGGTAGAATTTAAATTTATCATATTTTTATTGATCAAGTTTTTCTGATAAATAAAAAAACGTCTTGTAATGGTAAATTAATTTATTTATCATAGCGAACGTCGATCTGCCAGACATTTATGCGTATGCTTTCAACCTTGCACAGCCGATGGGCGGCAGAATACCGGTTTCGGCACTTCATAAAATTTTGACTGTTAGTGGACAACCTCATGCAACAGTTGAAAAGGTAAAATTAATAATATTATATAATTATAGTAGGTCATGTTTGGATTCATTGATTAATTGGATTTTTCTAGATCTTAAATTTAGCTGTGCCAGCCAGTAATACTCGAGTTAACAGAGGAGAATTCAATACTGCACTTGCACTTGTTGGTCTAGCACAAAAACATATGGGTAAATGATAATATCAATATAAGCTTGCTTATACAATTTTATATTTAATTGATTAATTAATCAATTAAACTATTTGACAGATGTGTCAATTGAAACATTATTAGCACGGAAAGATGGTAATTTTGCCTTTTTCATTACCTATAAATTAAAAAAGTGAAAATTATACAATTTCTCAATAAAAATTTATTTTATAGATTTGCCAGAACCAATACTTCCCAATTTAGAAAGCATCAATTTCAATAATCGTGCATCAAGTTTTGGAAATTTATCACAACCAATAATCACACAACCCAACACTGCACCTCCACTTGAAGCTGATCCGTGGGCTATGCCATCACAATCAACGTCGAATGGAGTTCCCACTTTCACAATATCAGATATTACGACTGACTTCCCGTCACAGTCGAGCAGTGTTCCAAGAGTCCAGCCAGATGGTAGATCTGGTGGTGGTTTACTAGCACGTGAAGAAGAGTTTCGATGGTGTGATGATACGGATCCGATTACTGTCAAGTTTGCTCCGGAACGAGAAGGATTCCTATTTAAACATGTTAATTATATTATAGAATCACAGGTATTTTATTTCTCAATTTTCGTTTGTTCTTTATTCAAAAATTAAATTAATTAACATTTATAAATAAATGATAATAAAAAGCGACATGGATCAACAGTTACGAGACGATACAGTGATTTCTGGTGGTTAATGGAATGCCTTGTGAGGAAGTATCCTTACCGCATCCTACCAGCATTGCCACCCAAAAAAATTGGAGGTAGGTTTAATTTGCGTTCTTTTGGCGCTCTTCCATTTTTTCTTACTTATTTAAAAATGGATAAAAATAAACAACCCTCATCTTAAAATAGTCAACGGATTTTATTTCACAGTCGATGAATCGTTCCTTGAAAAACGTAGAAAAGGGCTCATTCGTTTCTTGAATTTTATTGCAAGGCATCCAGTGCTTAGAGACGAGGAATTAGTAAAGATATTTTTAACGGAACAACAGGTAGTTAACTCTTACTAGTAAATGGTGAAGAATTATACTTCAAAACAATGAGGAATTATTAATTTTAATTAATACGAATCAAAATAATAGGAAATAGCATTATGGCGTAAAACAAATACTCCTGATCTTGAAGAAGAATTTCTGAAAAAGACTGTACCAGAAGAAATTGAGGTTCGTATACCTGCAGATTTGGAAGAACGGCTTAATAAAGTAAACAAAAAATTAAACGAGTCAATCGAGCATTATCGTAATATGTGTCATATAATGGAGCGTATTGCTCGTCGACGTGAAGGTATTGAAATAACTAGTCTACTCTTGGATTTTCGTTATTCAATGTGTAACAAGAGCAATTTTTTAATCAGGATTGTCAAGTGATTATACGCGATATGGTGCTGCATTAAAGTAAATTTATTATTTCTTGATATTTTTTGTCTGAATATTTACAATTTTTCATCAATTAATAATTAATAATTGCATTCTTGGTTTTTTGGTAATCAGCTCGCTGATTGATATCGAGAAAAAGTGCTATATCGAAAATTGCTCTAATTGCACTCGAATAGCAAATGGTTTGACGGATGTATCATCACACATTCAGAGAGCCAGTGCTATTATCGAAGAAGAGGTATATAAATCATACCAACGTTTTTTTTAATATGGTGATTGTTTAAAATTTTAATCTATAAGACATAATAGTTAATTTACTCAATATATATATAAAATAGGCGAATTCAACTCTTGAAAATGTACTGGAAAATTTGAAAAGACATCGAGATTTATTAGTTTCATTTCGGGTATGATAATTATTTAATTTTTTATATTATTAGATTATATTCTTACATATGATAATTTTTTACATAGGAAACTTTTGAACGAAGGGATCGATTGGCAATGGATAATACTATTGATGCACTCGAGACTCGGATATCAACCAATACTGCAAAATTATCGGGTAAAGAAGATCCGGAAACCGAACGATTGTCGGCTGTTATTCAAAAGGTATTATTTGAATAAAATGAATCGATGAAAAATGCATAATTATTAAAATTACAATTAATAATTATCTTTGACTTGATGGTAATTTTATGCACAGGATCGGGTTGATGTTGATCTACAAAGAAAACGTAAAATTTTTATTCGACATTGCTTCAATGCCGAACTTTCACTATTTCACAAAAGTTCAGCATTTATTTCGCTTCTTTATCAAAATTATGCACACGAACAAGTCAAATTCTCGCAGCAATTTTACGAGAATTGGAAACTTCTGAGTCCTAAAATTTTTGAGATGCCTATTCAAACTATTGATTTTGGTTAGTAGGTCAACAAATCACAATTTGCTTGAGGAAACAAAAAAAAAAACTTTTTCGTAAATATATTCGCGTCAGTATTATTTATTATATTACTATTATTTATTATTTTGTTATTCTTTGGTATCATATAGTTAGTATTATCATCAGTAAAAAGAATTTTGTTAACGTGTACGATTTAGTAAGAGAAGTTATTGTCAGTCTTTTAGATTTTTTTTATATTAACAATTTTTAATTCTCCCCTTTTGTTATTATATTTTAATGTAAAAGTTGATGAATTTGTATTTATTCATTTGGTGTGATTATTGGGGGAATGATATTTTTTCATGTTTGAGCGATTCATTCACATTATTGTATTATAAGATGATGTTACTTTATACGCGCATACTCGCGCATGGAATTATTATTGGATTTATTATTGGATTTAAAATTGTACATATCGATATAATATTAGAGTATATTCTGTCCCTGATTCCTGCTCCGAGAATATTCAATGCGAATTGAACTTTTAGCTTGATTAATATTAAAAATTGAAAATTTTAATTTGCCAAAGTAGACTTTAATTCTTAATATAAATAGTTTATATATTGATAGTTAACAAGCATTTGTAAATTTTAGATTGGTCAAAGTAAACTGATTCTAATATAAAATGTAGCTATAAATCAGTATATATAGTAAAATGTCTATTCCAAACTTAAAATTGAACCTCGAAATTTTGTATTCAGCCAGAATTATAAATCGTGAACAATATGAATAATATGATCACAACGGGAATCAGAAACAAAATACATGATTATTTTTATATAAAAGCATAATTTTGCCTGGCATTAAAAAAGATTGATCAAAAATTTATGAATCTAATAAAGTGATACAAAGTGATTCATATATTAATATAAAAAGATTATAATTTTTATAATTATATATAATAAATGAAATAAATTTATTTTTACATGGTGAAAAAGATTATATGTAAATATATTTTATTGATTTTTTATAAATAGTTTTTATGTAAAATAAATAAGAATATTTTGTGATTTATGTAATTTATATGTGATCACGCTCAGCTAGTAAAATTAAATTTTGATAATGATTTGTTTATCAATGTAATATAAAACAAATCTAAAAAAATTCTCTTATATTTAGTTTTCTTTTTTTTTATGAATAGATTTACTTAATGTATATAAATTGATTTGTTTAACAAAAAAAAATCACACATTATTATATTTTATTATATTTTATTATATTTTATTATATGTACAGTTAGCTTAAATACTAACTTTCAAAAATCAATATTTAAAAAATAATCTGATTAATATAATTTTAATAAAAATTTGAATTAAATATAAATTTCTATTGCAAATAAATTTACTTAATATATAAAGATTGATTTACTTAGTAAAAAATTATATTTTATATAAAATAAATTTGGTGTTCTAAAATTATCTATATGTTTTAATTTGGAAAAATTAAAATTTTTGGTATATAAATATTATATACATACCTATAAAATTACAGTTCAAATAAATAAAACTAATAGAATTTATAAATAAAAAAATAATTTTCATTATATATAACAAGCATTATAAATAAAAATATTATATTATTTCTGTATATATATATTATAAATAGTAATATTAACTTTTTATATTTTTTATAGCAATTTTTTAAATATAAATATATATTTTTCAAGTAACAATTACTTTAAATATTATATTAGTTAGATTATTATAATAATTAGAAAGAATAAAGAAATATTTTTTATGAATTATCAAATAATATTATATTTTATTATCATTATCTTTATTATTAATTTGTTAATCTAAAACAATAATATTTTACATTTTTCTTGATAAATTATATTATTATTTGTATTATATATTATCAAATATATAAATTTCTTATTAAAATATTATTTTAATATTAGAATATATAATCAAATTTTTTTATAATTATTATTTTTAGAAAAACAAACTTTGATAATTATAAAAAAATATAACTATAAGATGATTTTTTTATTATATTTATATATAAATAGAAAAGCAAATAAAGTAACTATAGAAGAATATAACTATAGAAAAATATAATTATAAATAGGTATGACTATAAAGGAATTTGATTATAATTTATTATTGATAATTATTAAAATAATAATTATTTTTTAAATAGTAATATTAATAAAATATATATAAAAATCTGAAAAAGTAATAGAAATTGATAAAAATATTATAATTTTTTATATCACAATATTAAAATTTTGTATGATAAGTCTAGAAATAAAATTACAAATAAAAAAGTTATTTAATATTATTTTAGCTTTGATATAATATTATTATTCATTATTTTTCTTAATTACTTAATATAAAATATCATTAGATTCTGAGTAATATTTGATTAATTTTTATTTATAAATATTTATTTATCTATTTATTTACTTATTTTTAATTATTTTTTATTTATATCTAATAATATTATAAATTATCAATTATTTTATTTATTTATTATATTATTTTATTAATTATTAGTTATTATAATTTTATTATTTAATTTTAATTATTAATTTATCTATTTATTTAATATAATATCAATTTTAATTATAATACTTAGATTATATTTATTATTTCTTGACATTATGCATATTATAACTTTATTATTTTATTGATTCTTTATATTATTACAAATCTTGTAAATTTGTATTATTTTAAATAAATGTAATCTAATATAGAAAATTAGATATCTTGTAATTTATCTTTGATCTTATTAATAATAAAAAATAGATCAAATTGCTAATTATTCTAATTATTTTGTTTTATTAATTTTTTATAATCTTGTAATAATTTATTACTTGTTGAATTATTATTATTTATACTTATTAAATTTTTCTTGTAAAATTATAAATATAATTTTTGTTACTTAACATTAGAATTTATATTCTAAAAGATATATACTTTAACACTTTGTATGAATATAGTTACTATTATCTATTTTGTAAATATCTTTATTTATAAAGATTACAAATTGATAATAGATTTTTGGTATTTTCTCTGTGATGCAAAAATTAAAAAAAAACTGAATCTGACAAGACCAATAATAATAAAAGTACAAAAATAATATTTATTTATGATTATATTAATAATTGAAGAACTATTCAATAAAAATAGAACTTGTATATTTAACTTAATAGAAATTCTCTTTATTTAACAACTACTCAGACAAAATAATACTATAATAATAATACAATTAATATAATTAGTCTTTAATAATAACAATAAAACTTCACTTAAAATAATTAACTATATTTAAAACTTTTGTAAAAATATTGTCAATTTTAATTAATAATCTATATCAACAAATAACTACAACAAAAAAAGCTAAAAGAGCATAAAAAACAACAAATATAATAATAAACTTAATAAATTTAATAACTACAATAGCAAACTTAATAAATTTAATAACTATAATAGCAAACTCAGCAATATTAACAATAAGTATAATAACAGTTTACATCTTTATTATAACAAAATAATTAAATAACAAATAAAACAATCAAATATATGACTGAAGTCATTATTTTATTAATTAATATAATAACTATATAATAAAATTAATAAACTGAATATATTAACAATTTTTTAAGATAATAGAACTAATAATCTAATTATCTAATTTAAAGAATTAAAAAAAAGATATTAAATAGTATATTAAATTATGCAACATATTATTTTTATTAATTTAAAAATTATTAAAATTAATAAATTAACAAAGTAACATAATAATAAAAGAACAAAAACTAAATAATTTATAATTAATAGAGCTTACTAAGGATTTAAAGATCTTCTATGATAGTTTGTGTACAAATTAACTAATTATTAATAATAAAAAATAGAAATAAATAGAAAAATAAACAGACATTTAAAATTATTAATAAAATCTATAAATGACAACAATAATTAAATTAACAAAAACAATTATTAACTGAAATAGTAAAATAATACTCAGTTGCTATTAGAGAATTACTTTATCATATTGATCCAGATAATAGATATCCAGAATATTTTAAAGTAATAATGTTTATTAAAGATTTAAAACCAGAAATTAAATTTTTTGTTAGTCTAACTAGACCAGCTATCTTAGAAGATATTATTCATACTGCTCAATTATATGGATCAAGTTATCAACAAATTGAAAAACTAAATTCTATCACTGCAACATCAAATACCACAAGTCTGTTAAATATTTCAATATCTCAGCATCAATTTTTACAACAATTGGAAATATTGATAACAAAATTAAAAAATTTGTTAATATTTGATAATCAGAATCAAAACCAGAACAAATCAAATAACAAATATAATAATAATAATAGCAGAAATTATTCAAATAATCAAAGAAAAAGCTACAATAATAATAATAATAATAAACTTTTTTCACATCTCTTTCATGTCAATTCTTTGATCAGAGAGAAGAAACATATCTAATGAGTGAAAACTCTCAACAATCCTTTAGAAAAGAAGTCCATTCATTCTATAATTCATAAATTAATTTCTCACAACTCAAGCCTTCCTTCTCATATTAATTTTTTCTTCTTACTTTTTTCTTTTATTACGAAAATACAAAATTCAAATTTTATAAAAATATTATAAAATTATAAAAAACAAAAATATAATAAAATTTCTTTCATGTATATTTTCTTAAGTAATCATTATATCTATATTAAATTTACTACTAACAAAATAAAATGTTCAAAAACAAAAAAAATAGCTTTACTAATTCTCCAACTTCAGTTTTAAATTGCATTACAGACTTTCTAGATCTTTCTTCATCAAATGAAAATACTACATTCCAAACTCCTATTCAAGAAACTATTAAAAAAACAGATACACTTTTTGAAATAACAAATATACAAAAAAAATTATATACTCAATCAAGCAAACTCCTCACTCACGCTCATATTAAAAAACTCAAGTCTTTATATATAACTGAGATGAAAACAGATAATGAAGATGTATAC